GAAGTTCCGAAGCACAAAGTTTCAGTTCAATTTTACACCTATCAACCATGCACCTTCAAGTAGCGGTTTAGATTGCTACCTGTTTCCCGCCCATTTGAATAAAGGAGTAACTGGAAGATTGGAATGTTAAAAGAAATGTCAGGGCGAAATTAGAGAATTCATGAAGACTAAGGTAGCCAGGACAGTGAGTAGATGACCAAGCACTTCTGTTTATGGCACCCAGTCATATTTGTCAGCATCTTTAATCATCGGTTAAGGGATTCCCGAGGTCCCAATGTAATCCATGGTGGTCGACCACTTGCTGTGTCTAAACTCAGCATTGATTGTCCGGTTCCATACCAGACTCGTGCAATGTGGTGTAGACAGTGGTGTTCGAACATTGGCATGACATTTTCATGCTGTTCTCGTAATGGCCAAATCTTATTACTACAAAGCAGAATTGACCGAAATGCGAAACACTTCACAGACTAGCGGGATATCATGATGGCGCCACAGATCTCTTAAATTGGCAAGTGCAAATGCAGCCTTCCATATGTGCGTCTAATCTTCATTGTGCGTTATGTCGCTGCCTAAATAGCACAATTTACTCACTAAATCTATTATTTTCCCAGTTAGAGTGAGGTCGGAGGGTGGATAAATCCAATCTTGCAGCAACATTCTGCACTTTGAAGCTACAAAACGCACACCGAACATTGCTACACTATCACATAATCCACCCAGAAAAGCTTGCACCTTAACCATTCTTCACTCAGAAGTATCATGTCGTCAGAATACTCCAGATTTGAAAGCCAACCATTTGGGAGCAACTCAATGTCACCATTCGTGCACCAGGACAGGGTGGTTTCCATAATCATACATGCGACGAAAGGAGAAAGGGGATAACCTTACCGAATAGCACTTTCTGTGGTGAACTTGGACGAAAAGTGTCGTAAGCTCGAAGTCGGCTTCGGCTATTAGTATAAAAGAATAGCCACAGTGGTAAACTTCTCAGGTGCTACATTCAGGGAACGGTGGCACCGGAAATTAGAGCGGCCAACTGAGTCGAAAGCCACTTTCAGATTGCGGAAGATGGTGATAGCGCAGTGGTCTAGTCGCTGTCACCGATGTACTTTGGACCCTATGGTCCGAGGTTCGAGCCCCGACCATGCCACCCAACTTTGGAGATAGGCAGCTTTGCTGTCGTCCGGTTCAATACCATGCCTAATCCACTTGAGCCTTATGCGGTTCTCCACTGCAAGCCCCGGGGCTTAGGTTACCGGTTTCCACAACCGAACCGCAGGTCCTTGTGACTATGTCAGTGTTGTGGAATTTAGCGAAGAGTGGAAATGTGGTCGACACAAGGTCAGTCCGGTTTAAAACCAGTCTGGTTCCCACACATGCGGCAGACAGTCAAGGGAGTAATAAGTTTGCGAGAGGTTCGAAGGCACTGTTTATCACACTAATCCCTACATGGTTTTCACACGAGGACCTCTTATTTCTTGTTAATCGGTAAGATGTTCGACTCACACCATTCAGTTGGAACCAGCTTGTTGTCCCGTATTGAACCAAGGAGGTTCATTAACTCAAAGACTAACGATAAAAGTAAATCCTTGAAAGCAGGTGGGAGCGACACATGTGGGCCGGAGGCTTTATACATTCTGAGATAACTTATATCCCGGGAAACCTCCATTACAAATGCAGTACCGACATCTATCCGAAGTAAATTCCCAGTTGATATTTTGGTTGATAAGTCTAGTGTCGACGAGGATTAGTTGAATTGAGCCTTAAAATGATCTGTCCATCGTTCATTGTGGCGTTGCTGAGGCTGAATCAGTGTGCCACCAGATTCCTTACTTCTCTCAGTCACCTGGGCCCGAATTCCTATTTAAGAAGAAAAGAGTGCGACTATTACCAATAGCCGCAACCTTTACCATCGCTTTGAACTTTCCTACCAACCAATTCTCACGGTCATTCATCAAACTCTTGATGAGCCGACGCTTAACGATTTGCGCGCTGCCTTATTTGGCATGTGAAGGAATGGTTCTGAGTGCCTAGCAAGACGACAGAGATAGAGGATCGTGCTTCAGAATAATTCGTTGCTTTGACAGCTTCTCTGAATACCGCGTCTAGTGCTCACAGAATCCTCCCGTGTATAATTGAACTGAAAGGCGGCGAGAGAGCTCCACTTTGGATGCCGATTTGTGACTGTCGCTTAAATTCTAATATGGGTATCCGTTGCCAGCGGCTTAATTGGGGTTGTTTACCAGGCGTAGGGAGAATCTGCCTCGTAGCTAAGCATGCTTCCTACCCGAATAACATAAATCCCCACTAGCTTAGGCGAGGTATTGAGCAGGATAATGGTAATGAGTTGACTAATTCATACATGTACAGCGTGGTACGAAGAGGTGGAATCGGTAAGTTGAACAAGCTCATTTTTATTAACCTATTGACTAAACTCTAGAAAGTAGAGTAGTGCGTTATTGGAAGATAGCTTGTTGATTCATTGGCCCTGAGATATTTCATCAAAAAATAGAACACGTATCCACAGACCTTTCCCTCAAAGAGGGTTTTACTTGGATCACCGAGTTTAAGTTGCTGAGGTCGGCATGAGCAGGTTAGGGACCTCGTGATTGCTCTCACCCGATCGCAATTTAAGAACCACGAGCAGCCACATATGTGCAACCATTTCGCTCAACTTAGTCAAACACACGTTTTGTTAATATATGTGTGAGCGATCAGTGAAACACAATGTTGAGTTCGGTTCTGAAAGCAGAGAAAGGGTCACAGGATAGGATGTTGTGTGCGAATCAATGCAAGCAATTTCACTAGGTGGTTCACGGATGACGCGGCTAGACAGATAGCACCGCACGAAATCCCATGAACACGTGTTATAGAAATGTGCAATAGAGGCACCAGTTAGATTGCGAGCTGTAAAGGATCGAACGAGGAATGAGAATAATCACTGTCAATACACGGGTGCATTGTTGTTGTTGTTGTCCGCCAGCAAGGGAGATTGAAGGAGAAAGATGAGCAAGGAAGGAGCGGAATAGACTTACGATCGAAGAAAGAGCGATACAGTGGACGTATTAACCAATGACGAACAACTGTTATAATCCAAAGAAGTGTAATAACGTATAGTAAGAAAGGGAACAGAATCGGAAAACGCATCAAACAGTACGAAAAGCGACCAGGTGGGTGGGTGGGGATGTTCAGAGTGCATAACACAGCTGGGTGAAACTTTACTCTTGTATACCACACATATTGTATGATGGTTATTGTTCTCAAAGTTCTATCCCAAAATGTTTAATTTACATCTGTACATCTTTTTCTCTTCTGAATTGGCGATCAGTAACACTCTTCCTCCTTTCGCCTTCCCAACGACATTCAGCTTTCTTTCTCTGAAACTGACAATGTTTCTCACGTGAATAGGGTCCCAAACAGTATCTCACGATATCTTGGACCATAGGATTCAGTGCACTTTAACCGGAATTCATCACATGTAAGCAAACGAAAATCCAGGATGTGTTTGCTGAGAGGTTTATGCGTCGAAACTGAACAGAAAAGGAACTCATTTAAACGAAACGGTGATAAGTTTATTCCATATTCTACTACATGATACAAAAACA